TACACTCTTCTCTTCTCTTTCACTTCTCCTCTTTCGAAATTGAAAGTATATTGTTAACAGTATACAATATACTGTTATACCGTATACTGTTAACAGTATACAATGTACTGTTAACTATATACAGTATAACACTATTATTTTGATTTTAATACTATTAATTTTAATATTATTAATTTTTAGCGTCTCACTTCGCTCGGGCGTGCGCTTGGGCGAGCGCCTAGCGCCTCGGGTGTTTTTGGACCGTGGCGCCTAGCGCTTTTTAAATCACTGCAAGAGAGAAACTAGTATTTAAAATGAGATGTCATACTGACAAAGGATTATTCCGATGGGGAAAGTGAATACTTCCTAAGTAAGTTGTTTATAGTTTCATGCATATGTTATAAATAGGTTTTTCCCCCTTGCATATAGAAATTAAATTCTTTATGATGATGTTTATTTATTGTTAAGCTTTGCCATGATTAACATATATGATTGCTTTTATAGAGCAAAACTGCTATAAAATAACCTAAATTGCTTCCATCAGTATGATATAGGATGCAAGCACGAGTTTCAACTAAGAAAGATATTTGGTAGATGATGCAGCACCTTGTAATTGGCTATGAATTTGATATCATCCCTTTAATTTGATGTGAATCTCTTGATCCAGGGAAACTTAATTTATAGAAGGATTTATACAAAAAATATCTAGAAGGCTAGTGTGTTAATAAATGTCCTATCAATTATATGCTTAGCCCGTGCAACCAAGGAGACAGCGTTCAAATCATCTATGCTTGAAAAGAGTTCAGTTTGGAGGGTACTCTGATTCATTTTAGATAGATATCTCTATCTCAAAGATACATATAAGCCAAAGAGTCATTGGAACTCAGAACCCTAGAGCACTTTCGTACTTTTCCCATTTAAATAAAGTTCAGAGTTGTTTGCTAGGCAATTTATGGGTTCTAATAATTTTGTATGACAAAGTATGGGTTTGCCTATTTTAATTCGATCAAGAAATTGATTGTCTAATTTGTTCTTATTGTTAGCTTGGGAGCTTAAATAAATCTCAACATCATCAAAGTAATATTTCCCAGTGGTATCGAGATTATAATGAACAGTAATATACTTCACTATGCATAGCTCAAGTGACCAAAAAATTTACCGCAAGGAAAAATGTGGAATTTGCTTTACTTCCTCTTGTGTGTTAATACATGTTGTTTTGCATTTGCACAAATACTGAACAAATATATAAAACCTTGTTAGAGGAGAGTGGGAGTGGAACTCAATGGAAATAATCAAGTGGAACTTCACATTTCAATATTTTATGTGAAAAACTCAAGGTACTTAAAGTACTTTAGCATTACATATGAGGTAATCTGAACCAAATAAATAAGTCTGAGTGTTTCTTTACTTTCTTATAGTAGTTGCATTTTAGTAACACCTATGTTCATATAATATGGTTGACATGTCTCACATTAAATTGACATAGTCGGTAGAGTTTGATTTGTAGCTTTCTTGTTTCTTCTAGAAAATTGATCCGTTCAAGTGTTTGTTTGGTATCTCCACAATACCACATGTATTATGCCTTGGAATTCTTCTATATCTTTTTTGCTTGTTCTTTTTTCTCATCCTTTTTGTTGGTCGCCTTTGCATTTTTGAAAGTAGATTAAGTTGTAACTACTGTAAATTGCCAATCTCAAGCTTGAACGTTATGGTAGGCCACTAACAGCCAGTAAAATTTCATCAAAATTCATTAGTATGGATGTAAATTGTTTTTACTATAGGAATGTTATCTAGAAGTGACACAAGGCAATTTTACCACATGGGTGTCTCTAAATGCGAAAAAATGGACCAGGAGATTGGTTAGAAGGTCATATTAATATCCAGATATGATGCAAAACAGGAAAGGATTTTCCCATTGTTTTATATTGGTGCAGGTAAAGTAGTTGGTCCAAAACATAAAATTCGGCTAACAATATGGTATATAAGAAAATTTCAGGAAAGGTTAGGATTGATATTAGATGATAATAAGAAAATTTAACATAATATGTCTATAATAGGCTAATTGGGTTGAAAAAAAAAATAAGGGGATTGATATTATTAAATATAAAATTTGGTCTATTAATAGTTAAATATATAATTGGTGTAGGTATTATTGTAGAGAAGGATCTTAAGGATAAATGGATACCGTTGTGGAGGTAACGAAAGTTGGGGATAGACTTATAGCATTAAAATTTGCATTAGAATAAGATATTTTAAACGTAAATAAGTACTTATGCACCTAAGATTGAACTATATGATTACACCAAACGAAAATTCTGAGAAAATTTTAAATAAAATATTTTAAGGGATACTTTTAATTTGAAAATTAATCATTGAGGTATATTTGAATGATCATATAGGAATACCATGGTGAATATAAATAAGTGGATGACTCCTATAGATAGGAGAGGAACAAAGAGGGGGTGGATTGATATTAGATTATGCATATCTTATGATCTCATAATAATTAATATTCACTTCAAGGAGAGAGGAGCATTTCATTGCTGACAAGGGTGGATGTAATCAATCAGTCAAGTAGACTTTTCTTTTCACGAAATTGATAAAATTACTTGTAACATGTATAAAATTAGATTTGCTAAAAAAAGATGGGTGAATCAATGTAGATTGTTGGTTTTAAATATATGTATTAGATAAGAAAAGAGAGAAGAAATATAGTAGTTTTTCTAGAATGAGATGGTGAAATTTTAAAGCAAACAGTGTAAAGGCTTTTAAAGTAAGATGTAAAAGAAGTGTTGGATGGAAAAATAGGAGGTTTGGCATCAGGTAGAATAATATTAATACAATGTGGACTTGGGTTGGAACTATGATGGGGAGAGTAACAATGGATTTCCTTGTAGAATGTAAAGGGGTACAAATACAATCTCAAGAGAGAGTTGATGGTGATGTGAGAAATCTCAAATGACAATCACTACTATAGATCATGCCTATAAAGATTGAAAAAATATATAAATATAAGAAATTTTGTGGAAAGCTCAAAATTTTAATTTTAAAATATAAGGCTTACGGTAGTTTTTTATTGATAAGCTAGGTTGTAAGGATCAGGTTTGAGGAATGTGTTTTATATAATTATGTGACACCAAGGATCATTTTTAATTCCTTATTCTTTTGGTAATTGGTTTTGGTTGAGGATAGTACCTTTTGATCTTTGTTGATAATATTATTTTGGTTGAAATAGTTTAAATAGAATTTTTAAATTTGATCTCTCGAAAAAGTTCATCTTAGAAACTAAAGACTTTATATTAAGTAGGAATAAAATTAAGTATATAAATCTAATTTTAGTAATAATAAGGGAAGAACTGATGTTGCAGCTAGGAGGATAGATGGATAAAAAGTTTGTATTAGTAAATGTTTTATGTATCTTAGATCTATTGTTCAACCAAATGAAAAAAATTGATAAAGATATTATCCATAGAGGAAAAGTAGGTAGTTATGATGGAGAGGGGCATCAATGATTTTTTGTGATCATCGATGCCCTTGGACTAAATATTCAATTATCTAAGATGGTTGTTAGGCTAGTCATACTTTGTGAGTTTTGAATGCTGGATGGTTAAAAAACATGTACCAAAAAATTGTATATTTGAAATGAGGATTGCTGAGGTATTACTTAAAAAAAAATATAGAAAAAGAAATGTTCTAGTACCAGTGAATATGTTCAAAGGCAATCTATGATTATGATGGTTTGGTGAGATGAGTCATTTAGTACTAGTGATGATATAACAACTAGCAAGACATATAAGAACATTTTAATAGTAATAAAAAGTATTAATACTCTTGATTGAATTAGAGATATTATGTTATGCAAATCTCACTGATAGGCAAAATCCATGTCTGACTTCAAATAATTAGGCTTGTGGTTGTAGTAATATTATGACAATTGTGCTCAATGGTTGGAAGTTGCAAATACATTTTCTGTTGGACCTGAGGAGTCAGTTTTGTTCTCCTTGAAGGTTAATTAGATTTTTTTTTTACTTGAAGGTTGTTGTATACGCATCCATACACATGATAGCAAATAATTGTTTAAAAAGGTTAACCTACTACTTCCTCCTCTTTTTCTTCTTCTTCTTCTTCCAAATTCTATTAAGGTAGATTAGGTTTCTGTTTACAGCAGGCCACTACAGTGAAGTGGCTCAACCCCAAGTCTTCACTTTCTCATGGCTGCTCATCTCCATGTGAATATCTGAAAGAGGAAGGAGGAAGAACATTATATTAGAATGCCAGCTTTGCTGCTTCTTATGGCTACGATACGATACAATGAATGCTTTGAAGATATGATTCCTGTGGCAATGGGAATGTCGGCATTGGATTTAGATTGCAATCAGCAAAAAGTGCAGTGCTACTTGGGGCACCACTCTGCCTCCTCTTCCATTTCATTTCTATACTGAGGGATGATAGCTTACATGGGTCTTGGGATGCGCTGATATGATGATCCTTTTGGACATCAAGGCAAAGGAAGAGTGTTGATGAGATGAATCTATAGGTTGCTTCGTACCCAAGGCAAAATGAGCAGCAGGACACTTGATGGAACTATGGCAGAATCCAAGCAGTCTTCAGCTGCACCATTTATTACTGTTATAAAATCATTTATTATTCTACTGTTATAATAAAATCATTTATTATTCTACTGTTATAAAATCATTTATTATTCTACTGTTATAATAAAATCATTTATTATTCTACTGTTATAATAAAATCATTTATTATTCTACTGTTATAATAAAATCATTTATTATTCTACTGTTATAATAAAATCATTTATTATTCTACTGTTATAAATTTCACAAATATTGCATGATATAGTGGACAAACAATATAATAACAGTAACAACGTAAAAGAAATCAAATTCTATTTATGGTGCACAAACAACTCTCTCAGACCTTGTACAACAAGAGTGTCTATTTATGGTGGGCTGAGCTGAGCTGCCGAGTTGGTGAGATCTTAGGCATGCAACCCATACTTGCAACTTCTGAATATTGTCCGCCTATGCTTTGTAACGTTTGAACATCTCCCAAAGAAATCAAACAAGAATAAGAAAAGAAAACCAACAAAAATAATACCAAAAAGTCATGCTTTAGTAGTACGAACCTAAAGCCTACTACCAATAACAAAAATCTCTTGCGAGCCTACTTGGTTACTAAACTATAAAATCACGTCTCTACTGTCATTACAAGTCTCAGCACCACCTGGTGACTGCGACTAAAAAGTCTATTAACCAAGTCTCAGCACCGCTCATATTCAACAATGCATGACCAAGTTACCAAGAATTAAACGTAGACTCCAGTAGCAAGGAGCAAGAATAAAGATCCGAAACCCTGCAGCAGACGAGGACCCGTGATCAGTTGAATCATTCTCACCAGTTAATAATTGAAAGAAGAAAGACCATCAGTTCTTTTAAATTTACCAAGAAAGTGGATGCCACAGCAGCAATCACAACCTCCTTTGCTAGGCTGCGGTTCCTAGTGGATGAAGTAGCTTCATAGCTGAAATGTGCCATGTATAATTAGCAAGAGAGAATGAAGTTCCCAACCAAAATATACTAGTACTGTATGTCACAGATAATCCATCCTAGCTTTGAGTGCTTCCCAAAATTGTTCAACGCAATCCAAGATGTCAACACATCACAGAACATAAATAAAAAAAACCAAAATTCTATACTTTCTCGTACAAAAAAGATGACTAAATACACATCAATCAAGCTTCAATTTAAAACGAATTAAGCTTCAACCTCAAGAAATCTGGACCCTTTTCTCCAGAGCAAGATAGACTCAAACCCAACAAAGCAAGATAAAGGGGCATTGCTTAGTTTTATTTTAGATTCATGTTTATTATTTTAAATATATGCATCAATTTAGTTTCAAAAAGCTAATTTCTTGTTAGATATAGTCAAATATGTGACGCTAAAGCACATTTGTACACCGCTATCATGGAAAATGAATCTGAAATAGAAGCACATATGTCACATGGAGCACTGCCAACAATGGCAATGCATCCAATGAGAGGCCATGTTAGTGCTAGTGCAGCAAGGCTGAAGAAACATTTGGCCATGGATTTTCTGCCATGATGGATGCACAAAGAACACTTACGAAAGAGGACAATGTTGATGAGGACCCGAACTTGCTGTCGTCATTCATGCATCATCATAGCACCATCACATGCATAAGAAAATAATCAGTTCAATTCATCCTAGTTCAACCTTTGCAATGATAGCACCACCACACTAATGCTGCTGATCCATCACATTCAACAAAACCAGAGGGCTAATATAAGGCAGTTAGTGTCACACATCCTGATTTAGTTCTAATTCCATATCAGAAGTGGACAAAGATTTGAATAAGGACTTAATGAGTGGCCTGAAAAGGAAAGAATTACTTGTGTACTGGGCTAGAGGGCATGTTGCGACATAGAACCAACATCAGAATAGACCTCATATGCATTATGCTAAAGTTTGATCCAACTTAAATTGAGCCCTGATGAGGGCATCGAGCCCTTAAGTGGGAGTGTTGAGATTGTAACACTATGATTTAGTCTCACATTAGAAGTACATAAAGATTGGGATTGACTTATAATGATCCACTATTGTTAAGATGAGTTTAAGCATTTTAAGCTAATAATTTGGACTCATTAGGTTAATGGGCTTATCATCCCATTGAGCCGGGTCGTGGCAGTCAACCCACCCATCCCAACCCCGAGCAAGGGCATTGGGGTTTCTTCAACTCTTTCAATAGGAGGCCATCCAATGACATTCCTCATGTACCAAGATTGATAATTGTTATATGCCAGATAAGGAGAGAGATATATGTAAGGCAATCACAGAGGAATTTGATTTCAACCATAAATCTCCTAATGCAACACTAATCCATGTTGCAACCCTTGGGTATAGTCTCCACCATATGAGATTGATAGGATATCTTGATGTTATAGAAATTTGTACATATATTAGATCATTCAAGTAAATGTATAATGTTACCCACATGCATGAGGGTCTCGTACCCTACTATTGCAAGAATAATTCAATAATAGCATGTAATCTATCAATATAGATGTCATATCATTCGTGCCTTCTTTAAAATTAAAATATGAAATCATGAACCTGGGTAACATGAAATTTGTTTCTATGATAGTAGTTGCCCCATTAATCATGATAAAATCCATGTATTTGCAAATTCTTTGGGTATTAATTTGTGTATTTTGGGCAATAAAGTAGCATGTGATTTCATGTATTTGTAAAATTTTTCATGTGTTTTTGATACAAAGTTCATAATAGGTTTTAAAAAATTAATTTTCATTCATTATTGAAGAAAAATAAAAAAAAATTTAATATAGGTTTTTAGGAGTTAACATTTGGCACCGACTGATATCAAACTGTATTGGCACAAAATATGGTCCAATATGAGTATCACCCTGTACTATCAATATTGGTTTGGAAGTTTAAACCTCGATTCCATGTCTCTTAAGCAATAATTTTTAAATCAAAACACAGCTATTCACCAAGATTGTTATTCATTCATAGCATAAACTCCAGTTGCCACAGCACAAAAATACTACTCTCTCCATTTCCCTCAAGATCAACAACAAAGCCCCTCGTAGTCAAGGTTATTTTTACTAGGCTGGTTTTACAATTGATTATCAAGCCAAACAAACTGTTCTTAACATTTAACACTGGCTATTTGTGAACTACAGTTACTCCCATGTAATACCTCACACCCTGAATGTTTATTTCAATCAAACAAATCCAACTCATGATATACATAATTTCTGAATTTGCATGAGAAATAAATTTCTGGGAAGACAAACAATTCAAAGATGGTCAAACTTTATGCTATTACAAAAAAAGCCATTTCACTTCAATGTGTCATAACCTCATATTTGAACAGAACACTGGTCACTATTCACAAACTCTTAGAAGAACCAGGGTCCACTATTCACAAACTCTACTTTAATTAATAAGTAGAAATCTCCTTCATACACCAATCTGTCAATTGCATGCTTCAATTTCATATAAGTATGGGTCTGATTATATTCTAAAACCATACGGCTAGTAAGATCTACAATTACTTAAGTCTGATTATATTCTACAATTTCATATGAAGTGTTGAATTGTAACACCTGGTTAGAAAATTACTTAAGTCAACAATTGTTCCTAATCATAGATAAAGGTATAGCAAGGTTGATTTTTGAAGACGTGCTAACAAGATTTCTTGTTAATAGCAATGATAAGAAAGGCAAACCCAATAAGAATTGAAAATCGAAACCTAAACATGAAAGTATTATAGGGAATTTCTGTTCCATCCTCTGAACTGCAGTCCCGAAATCAAATATTAAGATATCAACTATGTTGCATTTGAAGATATCTTATGCGACAGTAGTCTCATATAGCTAAATGTATTTATTCAATTAGCAATCAACTATCAATGTGGGACTACTGGAACATTGTGTTCTTCTCTACTGAAATGGTTTGATGTCCTTGTCAACGTGCAAGGAAACAAGCCCAAGGTTGACCAGCGGTTCTAGTGTGGATCTAACCCAAAAACATCATCCTGGTAGCACCTCATCAAGGAACTTGTTAGTCCACAGGCACACAGAGTTGCTGAAGTACGATCTGTCACGACCTGATTCAAAGAGTCTGAAGTACTGACCCTATAATTAAGTACAGTCAATGACACAATAAGTCATATGTAGTCGTCCTTTAATCAGATGGATCACGTAGAAACTCAGTTGTCCCTACATACAAATCCAACCCGCCATTAAATTCCTCAGTAAAACTAATGGGAAATTACAAATTATGCTACTACCTCCTTTATATCTTTGTAAGTTCGTGGATTGAAAATTAGGGAGCAAACTTCATTATAACCCACTATAGTTCCTAAGAATTAGGAAGCAAAAGCAATCACTGCCTTGAACACAACAATGCTGCTCTAAGACAGGGATTTTTATCTCAACAATAGAATATTCAGATTCATCTTAAAACAAAAACCTCAAAACAGGTCTATCCAAAACGTCATCGAATTCCACCTACTCTTAGCATCACATGTCATTCCTGTTTTCCCTTATGAAGATCTGGATGCTACAAGTTTAACATCAAATCTCAGCTGATCATATTCTCGATTACCAGCAATTTTACTTGACGATTATGACCGTAATATCTTCAACACAATTGCCTTTCTCTGAATAACTTGGTTAGTCATTCTCCCAAGAAATAAATTAATCCAACTAAAATATAATATACCAAGAGCAACCTGAACAACGCCTATACATTCTTTTCAAAATCACCAAGAAAAAACACAATGAAGACTAAAAGGGGCGGTTTATATGATGTTGCGGAGCTTCCGATTAAGATTAGCAAGTGAACAAACAAATTATGAACAGCAAAGGGAATGGATGTGAAATCGCACTCTTGCAGCCCCATAGCAGTGAAATAATATTTCACTACAGTGCTGCCAAATGACAGAAATGCAACTAGAACCACTGGGTTATATACATAATAAGTAACATAAAATAAAATTTGGGTCCATATGAATCTACTGGTTCTACAAGAAAAGAATCAATCTATACATTTCATATGTGACTGAGGTGATATCTATCTGAATCACAATGATGACTAAGTACTGCAATCCGAGGAAAATCCACTTCAATCTTTTTTCACTTTGTCATATTGTTGAATCAAGGCAAAGGTCATATGTTAGGTTTCACAAGTTCTCCAATAAACCAAGTAACGCTCTACATATTATATATCGTCAAAAAATTATCTAATAAAGATCCCAAAAGAAATCTTGCAGCCAAACAATACAAAGAGACTCGCAGTCAACAACAAGCGCACAACGCATTCCATGAAAGCTGACAGCACAAACAAGATCCAATAATAAACATCTAACCGTAAATCCTTTGCTAGATTACGATATTTACCCTATGGTATGCGAAGCCATCAACGGCGGAAGATTGTAGCCCGTATACATAAAATCGATTCTCTCAACTAATTTTGGTAAATTTCGTGCAGGACTCTCATATTACTCTCAAATCTTTGTTTAATGACTCCAAATGCACAAGCGTGATACAGAAAGACATTACAGTTTAACATCGAGACAAGAAGAAATCAAGAAAGGTTGCATCAACAAGAAAGAAATCAAGAAACAGACGAAAAAGAGGGGTCTACATGAGGGCTTACATAAAGAAGAAGGCAGTGAAGAAGAGGCCGCCGACGAGCAACAGCGCGGAGAGCGCCGGGTACCACTGGACGGGGACGGGGCTCGTCACCGGTTTCGGTGCCTAACACGATTCCATCAGAAGAATAAGGCGAAGAAAAAGAAGAGAGAACACGGGAGATCTCAAAACCCTGAAGATCTCAAGAACCCTAAAAGAACTCGAGAGCGGAAAGGTGAACAAGATCACAGATCGAGATCGAGATCGAGATCGAGATCGAGAGGGACTTCTTACCATCCGGCGGAGGAAGCAGAGGAGATGGGGGAGACGGGTACCAGATGGATCGGATCGCCACTGACCGGATCGAAGACCACAAGGAGCGGCTATTCAGGAGCGAGGGGAGGAGGGGTCTATAAATACGTCGTCGGGGGAACCCTGTGCTTTGCGATTCGTGAAAGATCATAAATCTAACGGTTAAGGATGATTCAATATAAAGTCGATTATGTCAGTTGGAGGGTTCTTGATTGGATACCACCACACTGGGAAACACGGTGCTTTGAGATACGCGAACGATCACACATAGGTTCAACAAAACTCGGATCATGTGATCAAGCAGTCGTGGTTACTTACACACACGAATCTTTGAGATTCGTGAACGATCACAAATCTAACAACGAATGACTGTTCAATATATTAGCGATCGTGCTAAGCAGTAGAAGGTTATTACATTAATGAACGTGATGCTTTGCGATTCGTGAACGATCACAAAGCACTTGAATTTTTCTTTTTATTTTATTTTTTTCGTTCATGAAATAAATATCATTTGTACTTTTTGTTGTAGATCGCTCATTTGCGTGTGAAACAAAAGAATTCGACTCATCCAATTACGAGCTTCTCATCCAAGTGATCTTGATTGGTAAATCCAGACTGTGAATCAGTTGGTCTTGCTTGTGATGCATCACCACCATGAGCCTTCATTTCTTCCTCCTAACATAAAGATCATAGAAGACCATAGGAAAAGACCATCTACATCAATGAAAGGAGGCGACAAGGTTGGACATCAACGCTCGTGTTCTCTCCTCAGAGTGGAGGACTACATGCAGTTCTTGGAAAATGCCACCGACAACAACCACAAGTTGATCCAAGGTAGACAGAGGACAAGGATTAGTCACACCTACCACACAAGAGAAGCAACAGGACATGAATGGCCAGACCAGTGATGTGGGCACATAACAGATCCATGTGCAAGTAGTCAGAGAAGCTAAGTAGGACAAGCATGTCACTGTTCCTCTTAATCAATCAGAGTTCCGAGAGCCAGTGTTGTGGCATTCTCTTGTGTAAATGAATGTTTCCTCTGTGTGTAAGCACTTATGATATACAATATATGTTTACTTCTCAGTAAAGAGTACAGCAACGAGAATGTTTCTGCTGCATTATTGTAATATATTTTGCATAACCTAGTAGATTTTTCTAGCAACAGAAATCCTAGAACAAGGACAACTAGATTAGATTTGCCTAAGAAAAGGACAACTGGATTAGATTCTCCAGTCAAATGAAGCACGTTTGATTAACAATTACATGCAACTAACCAGAAATTTGAGCTCATTGGATGTCATGCTGGAAATCATGGGCAACAACTCCAACATAATCTCTCAGAGCATCTGTTTGTTTGTACCACCTTCCCTTCATCACACTTCTGACCCCCTTTCCCCCACCCCACTTTGCTTCCTTTGACTCAGAACGCACAACAAAAAGATGGTAAAGTGAAGCAGCAGCAGAAGCAGCTAAAAGAAGAAGAAGAAAAGCTCAGCTTTTTCTCCCAGTTGAGAAACTCTGAAGACAGATCCTCTCCAACACCAATCTTTATCAATACATCAGAAAGTGGTAGAAAGGTCTCTCCTTTGGTTCCATGGAGGATTACAGGTCAAGGTCTTATGGGGATGGGAGGATGGAGATGGAGGTCTATGAGAGCAGGCCTCAGCCTTCTCTCTCTGGCCCTCAGGACCTCAGGTGCTACAGCGCATCCTACGCCTCCTCTCACAGCAGCAACCAGGCCCCTAAGGAGATCAAGCTCAAGAAGGGGAAGAGCGCCTCTGGTTCCTCTTCCTCCAGGAGTGGATGGAGCCTCAGCGACCCCGAGCTACAGAGGAAGAAGAGGGTGGCGGGATACAAGGCTTACGCTGTGGAGGGAAAGATGAAGGGGAGCCTGAGGAGAAGCTTCAGGTGGCTCAAGGACAGATGCACCCAGGTGGTGTATGGGTGGTGGTGATTCCTGTAGGTATTTTATCATGCATCTTCCTCTCTTCGATTTGTCACCATAATCTCAGCTTTTTTAGGCCTTTGCATCTGTAAACATCAGAAATTGTTGGATCTTTATTGTATGAAGGATTGATTGATGTGATTCCCATTTCTCGTATCACAAAGCCATGTTCACAGATTTATCTCGATGCATGTAATCAGAACCCCAGCTTAAACTTATACTTTATGATCTTGTATTCTGCAGACAAAAAGTTGATAGGATGTTCCCATTTCAAAGAGATACATTTGAACCAATATCTGAGTTATTTCATTCCATTGAATCGTGTCCCGGCTTCGATCAGAATCTAGCAATTCATATCTGTGAATCTGACTGGCACTTTCATCACAGCTTGTGAATATTATTAGACAATTATAATCTCTGAATCTATCTCTATGCTCATCATGTGAATGCAGGTTATTTCTGATCCAAGATAAAACCCAGCTTTGGCATGGATATGTCCTTGTTGGCGTTCCTGGATCCTCTCTGCCTTCTCCTAGCATAATCAAGCATGCATGCGGCATTTCATCCTTTCTTTCTCAAGAATCTTATGTCAGTTTGCGAGGATGCTTTAACTTTTTTGGTAGCTTGTTCTTGGTTTCAATTTCAGGTTCTTCATAGTGAAGAAGAACCAGGCAAAGGAAGAAAAAGGAGGCACAACAAAGATTCTTGATTCTTGGTCACCACTTGTTGTCAAGAGAACTGTGATGCCTCCTCACACATGGAGGATAATGAATAAGATCAAGAAAACATAGATAAGGAAATTTGATGCCAGTGTAGCTCTCATGCCTTCTCTATAGTTGTATCTAATCATAGCTTTCTTCATAGCAGTGGGATGAGATAAAACAATGTTGTTCTGGTTTGTTCAATTGTTGGCATATGAAACAATGTTGACATCTAATTATGGGGATTGATGTGCAGTGCCAGCAGGATCATGTTATAATGATATTACTTGTATGACTATGTGAGTCAGCTATCATTAACGCAAGCATATTAGGCCAATTTTGCACTCCAACTTGGGAACAAAGAGCCATAGTAGACTTTGAGCAGCTACCTTGTTTAGGATTCTGATGTTGAATCAGCCATTATTGTTGGTGCAAAAGCAGCAGGATATGACTCTGAATGCATCAGACACTGGCTGTTCTACTGGAGATTATTGTCCTTCACTGCATCATTAATCTGTGAACCAAATAGCCATCCACATTCTCCTCTGAAGAAATCAGAGTACCAATGCGAAACCACATGCACAACACAGGAAACTTCGACTCTCAAAACCAATCTCACTAAGATCGAATAGATTAGACAGGGAAATGGAACCTGGAAATCCATCTCTTCATCACTATGTATCTATCCGTATGAACATATCTATTAAATTGCATTAAAAGAAGACTATACGAACAAGAAAAAGTGTGATCTTTGTAGTTTTATGTTGCAAGTTATCTTCTTTCACTGCATGCTCGAACCTGGATTGTAGATGGCAAGATCCGTCCACCCCGCAGACCAGCACTCGGAATCGGTCTCCAGTCTTTCGACGTTCTCCACAGCTGGCGTCGACATGTCGCCGGCTGGGCTCGGCGATTCCGTCCCCTGAACGCGAACGCTGCGGCGGTTCACGCTGCTCGAGCTCGGCAACGACGTAGCGCAACCGCCGCCCGCCGGATGGATGCTGCCCAGGAAGGTTTCCAAGTGCCCGTCGGATGACAGCAGCGAGCTGAAGCTTCCCGCCATGTCGAGCAAGTGGCGGTCGGGGTCGAGAGGCGGGTAGAGAACAGAGAAGGGCTCGGGCTTGGGGAGGTCAGGGAGGCGAGGCAGGGGCGTAGGAGGATTGGATCGCTTGATACTGCACCCAGCAGAGGACGAAGAGGAGGCGTTGAAGCGCTTGGAGTTCTTCCGCGTGCTGCCGCCGACGGGGATGTTGCGGAGGGCGCCGCCTTTGGTCCAGTAGCGGCGGCAGTTCTTGCAGAAGTGACGCGGCTGCGAGAGGTTGTAGTTGTTGTAGTAGCAGAACTTGGTGTTGGTGGATTCGCACCGGGGGCACCTCAGATTCTGCTCTTGCTCGGGAAACCGAGGCCCTGCCGCTTGAACTGCCGCCGACGCCGTCGAATCCTGCATTCTTTGGAGGAAGAAGAAGAGCCACAGCCGGTTTCTCCTACCCAAAGGTGAGATCTTGATGCAGTTTTCCTTCTTTTTTCTTGTGTTTGGCTGGCTTTGCGCTGCAGAGGAATCAACTGAGAAGAGGACTTGCAGTCTGAGAATTCAAACCATGTCGAAGCCAAAGTCGGGATTTTTCTTCTTCTTTTTACTGTTTCAACTGAAGAAATCTTGTTGTGTGTTTAGATACTCGACAGGAATGTTTGAGCATGAAACAAAGAAACCTTTGGATTCATACAACACAAGAAATAGAGACAGAAGTAGAAGAAGAAGAAGAAGAAGCAGCCTCTGAATCCATCAATCCATGGTTCATAAATTCTCCTTCAAACGAAACGACATAAAAGAAAGACAAACATGGAATTAGGAGGGTGCACAGAAACGAAGAACATATTCCAACCACTCGGCTCTCTTGTTCTTCTCTCTCTATCTGTGTGCATGGTGGTCTGGTGCGATGGAATATATAACACAGCAGGCTCGGGTGTCGCTCCAGAGATTTCCATTGCTGAGTGCTGACTACTAACCCACTTATGCAAATCTTAATGCTAATGATGTGGTTAAAGTGCTATATCTATTCTCTTCAAATGGGATCTGTGTTGCGGTGGAACAGTCTTACGTGGTGAAATTATAGATCTCTGACAGCACCATGATATCATTAATTTATAATCATGATAGCGTCGAAGCAAAGCATTATACTTAACCACTTATTTGCTTCAATGGCTAGCATGTCGATGGATCCACAAATTGCTGTTCTACATGTTGATGGATCGCATGGAATCTGATTCAGTTCATATTGGATTGATAATTGAGATGCATAAAACCAGACACGGTGCATTGCTACTTGGTTTGATGCAATCCTATTCTTTTGCTCATCGCATACATATATTTAAATATAGATCCACTCGACAACACCAATCCGCATGACACTTGACTGCAACTGGCTTCCATGGACTCACTTGAGTTGTTCGTCTTGTAGTCTTATCTGAAATGATGATAACCCAAAACATCACAAACAGTGGCGAACATCTAACGAGCTGAGAGGATAAGCATGACATGTCCACTATGCCGGATGACTAGTTCGCCACTGTTACTACATCCCTGCTGTGGAATTTGCGAGATACAAACTCATTAGCATCAGTAAGCTTGTTAGATGTTCATAGTATACTCCAATGTCTGTGATGTTTATGCATGTCTATTGTTCTCCATGCTTCCATGATCAAGAATCGATTCTGTGAATCTGTGACCCCCAGTATTGGTTTTTTGGTTGTCACAAGTCCAAAGAACTGATTCCGATCACCGAAAGATGAGAATCCTTGAGATACAGAACAGCATCACAAGCCATCAGCAGTTGAAAATTGTGCAATGCCTCTAACCTGTATGGTTACTGAACAATCTAAGAATTGTCTATATGTCTGCTTTTGCTGCATCGATTCTGTGCCATAAACTACCACTGAAAGGTAACATGAAGTTGGATCCTTTCATCCACATACAAGTGGTAAGACTGGTGCAGATCATTGATAAAGAGATGGCATCAAAATGTGGTGCAAACTGGCAGAAGACACAAGTGCATATGATATGCTCATCCCTGCAGAGAACAATCGCAGAGATGCCAAAATGGCTGCCTGCCTGCCTGCCTATCACAGGGCACACCGTTCGACGCACAACCGTGTATATCTGTGCTTTGGTTTGTGTTCCATTCACCAGAAGGGAAGGGATGACCGAAGAACCTTACTGAATCATCTTCCTAATTTCTTGCGGTGGGCTTTCAGTTCTGTACAGCTAAGCTATACACAGATTTCCAAGTATCTGATTAGATTTCCTCAAAACGTTTTCTTTTTCTTCTGAAGAAATCTTCAGAGTGTTTCTGATTCCCCGCTGAGAAAAAAAATTGTTTTTGAGTTCAAAGACGTGAGAAAATGAAAGAGATGGAGAAAGAACAAGCTAGCTTGGGATTCAATGGAAGAAGACAAGGAAAAATACATGACAATTTCTTGTGCACACATCGATTGGACAGCCCAAAGTACGGACTACATTCTTCTCATCCGTGGGCTTTGGATTCCAGTACAGCATCAATTTAAACGAGGCCCTGAAATCCCACTGAAATCAATTACAATTATGATTTGAATTATATTTTCCCAGCTCTTTTCCATGCAGTTCACCAGATCTTGTTTCATTATGTAAAAGAAGGGGCGCAAACAAAATGTAAAGCTCACAAGAACTAATCGGAACACTAATGCAACTCCAAATCAAGTTGTTAAGAACATACCTGCAATTGTGCGCTGAAATCTAGCTGGGTTTTGAGATTGATACTGCGTTTGACCATTTTGCAACCTATAATGCATTTTGGGCATGAGGATTCTGACGGCGGTCTGTGCCACAACGCGTCTTATGGCGCGACCACACATCCCAGGGTTATAAGAAGGGGAAAAAATCCAAGTCAATATATTCTTTGATGCAATAGCATATAAAATGTCATGAGGAAGAAGGAACACAGAGACAACCCTACATTTCCTGAAGATTCGTTGTTCCTCCCAATTAATAGTCTGAAGTGATACGAAGCCTCAGCTTCAGATTTCATGGCAAGTACGCCCGCAACAAGCATATGGCCTTGCTTGCCTTCATGTGTTCCAACAAGAGAGGAATATTAGCACGCGTCATTGTTTTGTGTGCATGTGATCTTGCAAATCGCATGCGCAGTTGCATGAGATGGTAATGACGTACGTCCACAAGATCTTTCCCAGTTACGTAAAGCATCTATTCATCACACGTTCACCAATTAATCTTCTCCTGTCCGCTCATGCAATTGCTAGTGTTTCTTGCGATGCATGCAATGGCATGTACGTAGTCGTTAAACCAATCTGATGGCAACTCGCAGCAGCTACATAGCTTTAGCTTGACTTATATTTAGAACAGACTGACTACATCTACATGATAGGAATCTACAAATAAGTGTAATCTTCTAATAACATCTTTGGTGTGCCTGACTGCACAAGATAGTATGATGCCCTTCTTTAGACAGTAACTGCAGAAGCCACAAAACTTAGCAGCACTAGGAACTGTTTTGTGATCCGAGACTATATGATGTTGCTCCTCGACAGTGAACACAGGAAAAATGTTCTTCGATCGATGTGGAGATGTAAGATGGAGAACTGTTCTGCTGAGCAAGATGGAGAACGGATTCCATCCTTGGCTCTCATATTCTTCTTTCTTTCTTCTCATGCTTCATTTGCTAACGAGAGTTAATATACTCGTCCACTTCTTAATGGCAGTCGGTGGTGGTGGTGGCGGTGCCTTCATTATTTTAGAGCATATCTCTTCCAACCATGGAGATTGCATTGGCTCAGCCGCAGATAAACGAGTGGCCATAGTTCATGAACTAAATTGAGAGAGCATCTCTTGCTAGAATGAGATGTTTGTCCGCATTCATCTTCCTCCACTTATTTTGGCCACTGACATTATACTCACCGACTCGATCTTCTCAGTCTCTCATTCGATTTGATTCTCACATTTAGCCAAACAGATCCTCTAGCATAGAGAACGTCCGATTCGATGCACACCCAAGAGATCTCCTCGGCAAAATTATTGAGATAAAGAAGGATTTAAAGATTTATGTGAAGATTCCATTTTCATTGAATAGGAAAATTTGGCATGTTCCTTCTTTTCAAGAACAACATCTCCAAACTGTTCATGCGCACAATTGATGAGAATTGTACAAGGCAGCAAGCTGAAAACTTTGTCTTTAAAGGTTTTCTTACAACATGAAAAGGATACAATTATCGCCATTGATACCTTCCACAAAGCATATATACCATCATTGATTTCAACAGCTATATAAAGGCTGACGAAAACATAACCTAATAATCCTAACACTTGATGATCAAACTTCACCAACTAGATCTTGGCAAGCCTCTAATCCAAGTAGATCACTGCATGACATCAGAATTGATTGCTGTAGACATCAACAGGCCAATGAAGTGATTAATCAGCATAGATAGACCACACAGATACCATCTTAGATAACGCAGTTGTTGAGATGCCAATTGTTGCAGGATGAGATGAGCAGAAAAATCGAGGCAAACAATATATATCTGGCTATAAATGTGTTGAAACATCTTAAGAATTGTCAGACCTCGATAAAGAATGAGTTGAAGGTCTCATATTTCCAACAGCCACATAAAATAGTGATGTTGAGGATCATGCAGCCCCTATTAAAGTCACTGCTCATGGTTCACAGTCAATGACTTGGTATTGGTTTAGCTGGTTCTCTGAGGGATCCCTCGAGAAGGGCAGATCCAGGCATTAAATATAATATTTCTTTGTGTCAGTTTGCTAGTCTTTTCTGGTTGAATTCGGGAGATTTGTATTGTTTCATTGTCTCGTTGACTGAACTCTAACAAGGACCACAAATATCACCTCCGTAGAAGAAGTCAGCATGACATATTGGAGTACACCTACCTCTTCATACATTGAAGTATCCAGCCATCGTATGATGTTGCAGTGATCTGTTGAGGTACTACATCAAACTGCATTCATGACATTACATGGATTCAAGCCTGATATCTGTCTATCTATCTATCAACTAAGTATCACGTATCACTACGCTTTGTAGAGACAGAATGAAGGTTATCTCGAGGCGAAAAGTTATCCGACTCCTCTTCTTAACGACAGTGGATGAGCAAAAAATAGAATGAATGAATGTATTGTGAGCCATTGGATGATACATCTTTTTCTATGACCAAAGAATAAGTATTTTCTAACATGTGGTGGATTTCCATTGTGGCCTTCTCTTTTGTCATCCTAATCTATTGCGAGGATACGTTGATTTTTTCCCATGCAATCTACGACCTAACACCTCCACAAGCTAAGTTTAGGTTCTTAATTTGATCCCAGGGATTAGGTCATTTAGGAGGAGCATGCATGCTTCATCTTATTGATATATTCCTCCATGCACAGATCTATCATTGCGTTAATATGGGTTGACTAAGTGATTTTGCTTAAAATAGTATATAAGGTAGAAATGCGAACACCATTGTCTCCATTTCTAGGCAAAAATTATCATGGAAAATGAGGGATAAAAAAGAAGCTTCTATTAAACCGCAGCAGGGCAACAGCTGTCCCGAAAGATAAGACTTTGATCTTGCCAGACCCTTTGGCAATCATTGGCTGCCTTGCATTGTTATGTCCTTGTTTCAGAGTTTGAGACTCCTTTTGGCACTCATAAATGGGGAGTTCTCTCGGGAGGCTCTGCTTTGACTTCGTTCATTTCCCTCGGCAACTCTACCTTGGAACTCCAAACAAATGGTTAAGGGTGCTGAGTCCTGTGTGCCACTCTCAGAAGTGGCAACTTCCAACACCCACGGGGAGGACTCCCCTTACTTTGCTGGCTGGAAAGCTTATGATGAAGACCCTTATGATGCTGCAAGCAACCCTGCAGGGGTCATTCAGATGGGTTTGGCAGAGAACCAAGTAAGCTATTACTGATGCATACTCATTTTAGCATAAGAAGAAGTTGTCTTCATTTCTCTTGCCTGACTGTGCCCTTGTGGCCTTTCTCAGGTTTCATTTGATCTACTGGAGAAGTATTTAGACCAGCACCCGGGAGCATCCGGCTGGGGATGTGGTATCTCCGGCTTCAGAGAAAACGCTTTGTTTCAAGATTACCATGGTCTACAAACTTTTAGACAGGCAATAAGCATAACCTGGGAACGATCGTGTTGCTTATCCGTTCGTAATTGTTTCAGAGAATCACGCTCGACTACAACTGTGTCTGCAGGAAATGGCAACTTTTATGGAACAGATAAGAGAAGGCAGGGCAAAGTTTGATCCCGAACGCATCGTCCTCACCGCAGGTGCAACCGCCGCAAACGAGCTACTCACCTTCATCTTAGCAGATCCCGGAGATTGTTTGCTGATCCCAACACCTTATTATCCTGGGTAAGAGCTACGGCCACCTCACAGTGCTGCCGCTTGTTAATCTTGGCTTAATTAGGTTAACAGGAAAACCACTTCTAATCCAGGTTTGACAGAGATCTAAGATGGAGAACTGGTGTTCGTATCATTCCGGTCCACTGTAGCAGCTCAAATGGATTCCAAGTAACTCTCCAGGCCTTAGAAGATGCGTACGTGAAAGCAGAAGGCATGAAGATTAGAGTCAGAGGACTTCTCCTCACAAACCCATCGAACCCGTTGGGCACCGCGATCGCAAGGCATGTACTCGAGGAGGTATTAGACTTTGTGACGCAGAAGGACATCCACTTGATCTCAGACGAGATCTACTCAGGCTCCGTGTTCTCCTCCGATGAGTTCGTCAGCGTCGCGGAGATTGTCGAAGCTCGCGGCTACAAAGATTGTGACCGAGTCCACATCGTGTATAGCCTCTCCAAGGATCTTGGCCTGCCTGGATTTAGAGTGGGAGCAATTTACTCGTACAACGATAGAGTGGTGACGACTGCTAGGAGGATGTCCAGCTTCACATTAGTCTCGTCTCAGACTCAGAGGATGTTGGCTTCGATGCTGGCTGATAGAGGGTTCACTGAGAACTACCTGAAGACAAATAGAGAAAGGCTCAAGAATAGGCGTGATTTCATCACCGAAGGTCTCAAGAATGCCGGGATCGAGTGCTTGCCAGGGAATGCTGGGCTCTTCTGCTGGATGAATCTGGCACCATTACTCGAAGAGCCCACCAGGGAAGGAGAGCTGAGACTTTGGAGCTTGATAGTGCACGAGGCGAAGCTTAACATATCCCCAGGCTCTTCCTGCCACTGTTCGGAAGCAGGCTGGTTTAGGGTATGCTTTGCTAATATGAGCCAGCAAACACTGGAAGTTGCAGTGAGGAGAATAAAGGACTTCATGAAGAACATGAAGGCAATACAAGAGAAATAATGTTTGCTGCAGACCCAGCCACTTCATTCATTATCCTCTCATGATTTTGCTGGTTTCAATTTTCTTTTCTTTTCCTTTTGATTTATCTTGGGGGAAGACTGTGTTTTTGAAGAGGTGAAGAAACACCACCTCTTTTGATTAGAGCCTTGCATTTCCATAGAATACTTTCACAGGAAGTTCATATATACGTCTTCAATGTATACAATCATGAGGCTAGCTAGCCATCTATGAATAAAATGCTTTGGTCCTGTTTCATTATGATTCTTCCTCGTAATATCTTTTCATTAACCTGATAGTCTTAGAGTGCTATATATGTGGTGTTGTATTGCTCCTCTTAATGTCTCAATTATTTCTTTTCTTCCAGTCTAACCTTGATATATATAGTCCAGATATACCGAAATATTGTTCGACAATAATAATCTGTATAGACCACAATTGGGGAGTGAAGTCATCCCAATATTTGCTATGTACTGCTCTCCTCCCATATCATTAGGTTGCATGTCTGTGGCTTTAGTAAGTATACATCCGCCATTTTTAGTGCAGTCAACTCTTGTATTGCCGATGTCATGATTATTGAACCCACCCTCCACATTATGAGAAGTACAACTTGATTTAAATTACACTTGATACAGAAACCTAATCATCAAACATATTAGGTTTAGTATGTTGCACACACCACCGAGCCCCAATCTTTATTAGCTAAGATAATATATGATACGAGTCAAAGGGTATGCAACTTTTGGTGCAAGTCGCTGGTCAACGAGGTGGACAGCAATTGCCATGGTCAATAACAACAAGCTAGTTTTCAGCACAGGGATGATGATCACACGTGAATGTTTGTCACTGTGCATAGCGACGCAACAAATGTACATTTGAGTTGACTTTTGCAATCGAACTCGAACAGCATACGATATAAGAGCTGCATTGTTTGACCATGATATTCATAGATGTCTCCTTCGAAGGTCAACTTCATCTAACGTAGTCATCCATCATAACCGAAGAACTCTTAGACATATAATAAAGATTGCCATCTTTCTGAAGTAGATTATGATCAAAAGTTTGCTGTAATGACATACAATATGTCAGAGCAACTGCTTTGCCCTTTGCGGATAGTCAAATCCATTTCTTTTTCTTGGTGCTCATGCCTTCAGATGTAATCCATCTCTCAGTGCTTCCGTTCGTATCACAACTCCGAAATGGTTGACCTGTACTGCCCCAACAAGTCTTCTTCTTTCGTACTGTTCCTCCAAAGTCACGCTCGACAAGCAGAAAGACTCACTTCCCTTCTGTCATCATCACTCACCGTCTCTCCGCGATGTCGGCGAGCCTCCGTTAGCAGCAGAAGAAGATGCAGCGTCGGGAAATGTCGTCAGCCCACGGTCCCCGACTTCCTGATTCCAGGGTCAACGCATGCATGCAGAAGTCAAACGGACAGCCATGCGAGTGGTGTTAACGCGGAGTTTGCTTGCCCATCCCTTATCCTTCCGACACCCACGTCGTCATCACCTTTGCAGTCGGTCAAAGGAACTGTTTCGGACAATTTCGGGTTGATACATAATCCAATTTTGGATCTGAGACTGTGTGCACACCAATTTCATGGTATATAAATTTGGATGTGGTCAAAGTTTCTGAACCCAAACTATACTCTTTTATCTTTCTTGATTTGGTTTGAGGTATGTATGTAACTACCATTGATTGTCGACTCGGGCTGGGAATGGACCGATCACTAACTAAATGGGCTCAATTTGGGCTTTCGACGGACATAATTGGATGGGAACTATTTCATTTGATTTGGTATGAGGGAAACATAATACGTGCATACGTACGTATAACGGTTTTTAGCCGAATGCCAATTTCCTCAATAAATAAGAAAAAAGGGTGAAAAATTATATTGGCAAGTCGATCGAAATATGGTGGTAACGGCAACTTCTAAGGCCCGATGAAGTCGGCCTTATTCTATACTGGACCGGGCTTTCATCCACTTCATAAAAGAGGAGATCGGTCTGTGTTTCCATGTGAATGATTGAGAGCTTGATAGAGAAGGGAAAAAGAAGGCACACTTGGCCTCGTTAGGGCGAAAGAAGAAGAGCGAGAGCGAGCGAGATAGCGGTTCTTCGCTTTTGTTTCTAGATTTCTTTCTCTCTAACGTGTGGATCGCCGCTGTGGACTTGCCAATCGCTGGAGATCTTCATGGAGGAGATTGGATCCGAATTGGACGCATCTGAGCTGCCCGGATCGCTGATGCCGCTGGTGTAGAGGGCCGATCTCGCGGGAATTCTGGGAGTAAGATGAAGGGGAACGGCGCCGAGGACTTGTCCCCTGGACTGTCGCAGCCGCTTGAGTGGAAATTCTCGCAGGTGTTCGGGGAGAGGGCGGCGGGGGAGGAGGTCCAGGAAGGTACGATCTTTCCCTACCCTTTGTCAGATCGGTTCTTGACGTT